TGTGACGCTAATCTGTTCCTATGGGAGAAGGCGAGTCCGGTTGCCCTCCATTTGTAGTAGGCGGCGAAACCGTCATGGGGCACTCCTTACTGGAAAAAGGTCCATTTGTGGCTGGAAGATCAGCTTAGGAAAAGTTTCAATTGGGGTAAAAACTTTCAAACTCACCGTCGTCAGTTGGGATCCAAACGAACGGGTGCTTCTTGTCCCCGACGCTGCTTGGGCACGACTTTGCGTAACCGCACAAATGAGGTGGTTCAAAGACACGAAAAGCTTTCCACTTGCCCGAAAGTGCGAGGCTCGTGCAATGCGATGATCGAGGTGCCGAAGCTTGACGCTCCGAAGGCGAGCGAAAGCACCGAGCAGACCCACGGACGCCTCCACAACGGTCCACCGGTGAACTGGCAGCGGTTTCGTTTTAGAAACGCAAAAACAGAGAAAAGCAACATCTCGAGAGTGTGATGTTGACATGAATTTTTAAAAAAAATATATTATATTTTTAAGCATACGTAATTTGTATTTAGTAAAATAATATGCAGTCATAACTAAAGTTGAATCAGGTTTGATTCATTTTTGTTTTCTTTAGTTTTTAGTAATGAGCGCCTCCGACCACGCGAGCGCTGCTGTACACCTCTATGGTGGCGCCATCCTTGTTTAACCTGCGCAACTCGCTCTGTGTCCGGAGGGTGACGTGTGGTTGCGCACAGGGCGCAGAGGCTACGCCGGCATCTTGTAATAGCGATGACAGTGGGACTGCTGGTAGCGTGATTTCGGTTTTTGTTTCAGTTTCGTATTGGATTGTAATGTGCATGCCATTTCTAGCTATATTTTTCTTGAAAAAATGTGCGCGTCAGAATCAGGTAATTAGAGTAAATTCCCGGTCCTCCAGGATTGGAGTTTCTATAATGGAATTCAAAATGTGTCATAATTTTAAGTATGGTTACTGGTGAGTACACCTCCAGAATTTGTTTCTGTTATCTCTTTAGAAGGAGGTTCCTCAGTCAAGGCCTGACGGGTTGGTTGCTCGCTCGCAGGAAAGTGCTTTCAACGTGATCATCGGTGTGATGAAAAAATAAAGGCATTATTATTATTATCGTGCCAGGATGCCACAGGGATGTTCTATTTCAAAGCGAAGGAGGTTTTGAGTTCATGTGTGGCAGGAGTCTCAAACTCATTGTTGTGGGGGGGCCAGATAGCCTACTCCCAAAAGGCCCAGGGTTAACCGGAAAGGGTTGGGATAAAAAAGAAACAGCAATTTTGTTTTATATTGGAAAGCAGCCGACTCTCCCAGCAATACCGGAGGTATATTCCAGAGAAGGGATCTCGTGCTCTCTGCTTTTTGTTAGCTTGCCGTTTTGCCAGTGACATCTTTTGCTTTGGTTTGCATATACTTTGGTCCCACGACTGATCCGATTTAGAGCACCAACATGCTGTCCGTTTTCAATAGAACAAGAGCAATCACGCTGTAGTCTCAATTCACTAGGCTCACCAGTCATGGAAACAAATATCTCCTCATGCAACAGCTTTTACTTTGCTAACAATTTTTATAGTAGAGTTGATGGAGCAGAGGTGCCTCTTTGTGCGAAGCTCGTGCTTTTAGCCTAGTATGGTGGTATTGTTGTCCGGTTGATTGACATGAGAAAGGGCTGAGAAGCAAATACTTGGAGGAAGCATTACTTAGCCCAAAAGAAAACAGAATATTGTATGAGTTTTGAAGAGATTATGTAAGCAGAGCTCCTTTCCGAACGGAAATGAATGGACGAGAGGAAACTATTGCAGTAAACTTTCGTTAGTTCGACCTCGGTTAATTCAAATTTTTGCTTTCGTTTAATTTGATTGTGTTCGTTCCAATTTATTCCTTTATTTGTTTTGCTTTATGAGTTGGAATGTTCCATAAAAAATGTGCATCTAATAATGGCAATCTCTATTTGCAATAGTGTAGGAAATGTGTGTTGTCCTAAAAGTGTAGAAAATATGTGTGGGAGATACGCACTGCTTTGGAAGCCCACAACCGTCGAGGTGCGCCACGGGGGCGAGAGGCTGTCTCGGAATCCCGCGTGGCGCCTCACAAGAGGAGGGAAACTGGAGTCGAGGCATGAGGAGTGGATTGCCATAGCTTCCTTTTTTAAGCTTATTTATACGACTGCCAAGAAAGTGTAGACTTTCATAAAACCGGAAAGAAAAAAAAGGGAGTTATTTTTTGTCTTGTTAATTTTTATGTTGAATGTGACGTCAAACATTTATTTGAGATCCTCTAGCAATTAGTGTAGTCACTCAACATTATGCCCATGCAGGAATGTTAACATTTTTCCTTATATTTTACCATTTTTTTATCGATTCCACTTTTTACCCGCAGGTGAGGCTGTCACTTGACGCAAAATTAGACTTTTTAAGTTATTGTTGTCTCCTACATTAGCGAGATTAATATGCTCGATTTCATCAAATTGATGCAATACAAAGGAACACTGACACTCCCGAAAAGATTTTTTTAATTTTTGCTGGTGTTGGAAGACCACCCAATCAACATTTTACTACACTGTCACATAAATTTTTAATAAAGCAAAATAAAATAAAAAAATAACGCAACCGCTCGTTACCAAAGTTGATACGTGAGCACGGAGTTAATGGCCGCGACAAGGGGACTGGGGAGGAGGGAGAAATGTAGAGGAGAGAGTTGCCGGAAATCACACCGCTACAGCCGGCCACATAGTTTTTTGTTTTCCCTACATTCCTTTGGCTCTGTGAAGCGAATGAATATTGCACAAACATCAAGCACTTTGTGCTTGGCATTTGTACGTTTTTTAAGCTCTTACCAATTTGTGTTCGTAAGGCGAGCAATGTCTTCAGCCACGAGAAGGGGCAACGACTCGGCGACATCTTCGTGCGAATCATGCTTGGTGGTCGGGTGTGTCGTACGGAATAAACCCTACGTGTTTCGATCGCTAAACAATAAAATTCTCCTTTCGAAGATAGACAGATTCACCGGTACCGCGAATGACAGTTCTGAGGTAGAGGTCCCACGCCCGTCGTCTGCTTCCATCGCTTGGTCCGGTTCATCCAGCTTGCGGCTCCTGCGATACGACACCAGTTTGAGAAGTGCACAGTATATGTACTCCGTGCTATTTCTTTTTTTTTTCTTCAATCAAAGTATTTGCAGCTTTTAAAAGCCACAAAAAATGGGTTTCTTTTTTTTTTTTTAATATTGAGCGTGTGTCTGGTGATCCACTGCTTCGATTATATTTGGTGTGTCTGACTGGCAGGTGACCACGGAGAAGAGCGTGAGCACGGCTCAAACTGGCCAGTTCTCAGTTGGTAGTTTTTTTGGAGTAAAAGAAAAAGAATTTTGAGATGTGGGCTTTGGGTTGCTGGACTACATACCCTGTCAGTGTCTCTTTGAGAAAATAGACTTTTGGAGGCCATTCTCTTAAACTCTAGAAGCTTGATAACCAGGTTTCACACTTCTAGGACATAACCAGGCATAAAAGGACACAACTAAAAAAAAAGCATTTTTGTAAATGCATGAATAGGACAGGTCTGTCACAAAAACTTTTCCTGATAAATAAACCAAATTTAGAGCCCTATCTCTGTTGCGAGGCAGACTCGGGGTTAGGAGGGACTCCGCAGCATGCTTCTACTTTGAGTGAAGGGGAGCCTGCTTGGGAATCCCTCGGATGAGTCTCTGGACCAAAATGTGCTGGAAATTTGGCCAGTCTGGTGCTTTAGCCCCATGTTCCAGCGGGAAAAAATTGCCCCTTGAATGGCCAAAAAAAGTGTTTTAGAGCGCAGCTCTCAGGCGCCCGTTTCCAGCTTGAGCGGCGTCGCCGTCGACGTAACTGCGCCTGTTGCATTATGGGAATAATCCAAGCGGACGTAGCTGCGCATTGCATTATGGGAAAATTTTCCTGCTAAATTTAGTGGGAAAATTTCCCACTAAATTTAGAGGAACATTTCCCCGCTAAATTTAGCGGAAAAATTTTTTCTTTAAATTTAGCGGAAAACTTTTCCTGCTCAATTTAGCAGAAAAATACTCACCAAAATTACTAGAATAATTTCCCCTCTAAAATGAGCGGAAAACTTTTCCCCGCTAATTCAAAAAGTTAGGAGAAAAATTTTGTCTAAATTTTTCCGCTAAATGTGACGGGAAAATTTTTCCACTAAATTTAGTGGTAACATTTCGATGCTAAATTTAGCTAGGAGGTGGGGCATACCCTCTGCTCCTCACATTCCCCTCCTCCTCCTCAAGAGCTGCGTTCTAATGCGGCATTACTAAGAATTGTAAACCTCTTCTTTTTTTGTAAGGCTCGTTAGTATATTAGGCTCCTGAGAAAATCAGTCGTCCGCTTTAAGTCCTTAGTTTAAACTTTCTTCGCCCATTGGAGAGCACGGCAAACGAGCCCAAGTATGCGCGTGATTGCGCCACACCGCCTTCTCCTGCGTGATAAAGTCCGTCCACCATGATCATGGAATGTCAATAGATGCGCCTGCAGACTTGGTGTGTGAAGCCAGTTAGAGCTGCACCATTTTCCAGACGGCGTCCGCTACCGATGCAGCAACTCAAGTTTGGGCTCCCAGCTAGGCTACCAAAAAGACGGTGCTGCGAGAGGTCACCCTTCGCTCGGGCAAGCCTACCCTAATTTGGGACTCGAGTGTGCACCGAAGCTCGTCGAAACTGCCGGGGGTTCACCAGACGACCGCTGTCCGGTTTGGGCTTCCCTCCGCAACGGCACATTCAACTTTGGCTAGCATTGCCGCGCTCACGTTAGCGGACAACATTGGGAAGCTGGCGCCGGCCAGTTGGGATGCTGCGTTGGCTCATTCCTTGGTGAGGAAGACACGGTGAACATGTTAGCCAGTCTTAACGAAACGGCGCAAGATCAATCTCAGAAGGACAAACACAGCGCTTATGCTTGTCTTTCTGAGATTGACCTTGCGCTGTAACCTTCCCTTTGATGATGTTAGCCTGCCTGGAGCGAAGCAGGGGCTGAAGGAGGCCGTGTTTGCAGTACCTGCAGCTGGCGTGCACGCTCAAGTACTACGGCTACCTGCAGTTTGCCCCCTGCCATTGCGACTACCCGCAGCCCGACACCAGGGTGCTCATCAGCGCCGGCGGCAGGGAGCTCAACTTCCGGCTGGCCCTGGCTCAGGTACGTCACACGCTGCCTGAGAGGGGTGGACGTTACACTCGCCGCACTCGGAAATACTTTGGGCAGCCCCCAATCACGGGAGGGTGCTCCCCGCTCTCTGGGAGCCCTACAAAAGGACAAAGGAAGGCTTTGGGAGCAGTCGTTTCTAGGGGTGTGCAAATACTCAAACACATGAATTCGAAGCGAATAGCGAGTTCCCGAATAATTGGATTCGTGAATCGAATTCCTAGTATTCGGACACTCGAATATTCCATATATTGAGCCAACGAGGCACGGTCGGCGTGGAGCTAACAAAAGAGCCGTTTTTTCTCCGATGTTAGCACCGTCGTGTTCGACAGATCATGCGAGAAACACCTCTTGGTCCTACCATTCCACAAGAATCTAACGCACAGGTTTGACAAAAGAAAACGGATGCCACAAGCTTCTTAGCGTAGAGATTTAGTCATGACTGTGACAAAATCTAACCTTGAATCACGACCGAAACACCCCGTTTGCGCTGCTTCCAGAGAGGAATTGTTGGGACGCCGGAATCCCGCGTCATGCCTAATTCTTTTCACGAGTAAAGCCCCTCGTTTCAAATTGAAGCGCCGATGTAGAACACACTTGCCACGCTCGCAGAAATCGGCGACTGCAAGATCACATATAGAAAACCACAAAAAATTACGCCGACGAAACCAGCCGAGTTCACTTCTTCGTTCTTTCGGAACCGCAACCCGCAAATTCTCATTTGGATTGAAATGGAAGGAAAAAATAGTGTGCCTAGATTTGAGAAGGTTTCCAACCGTTTGATAACCGCGTTTGAGTTGCAAACTGTGAGAAAGGGATGAAAGCGTCGACCAGTCAGTCGTCGTCGCTCTTCCCTTTGCTTGCCTTCTTTGCACGCGACAACACAAGGCATGCACACTTACGACCAATCTCCGCTGAAGCCGTCTCCCCTGTTTCAGCTTTGCTTGCTCCCTCTTTGAAATCTAGGCTCTCTAAGACGGAGGAACTGATGCATAGCGGCAGTTGGACGGTGACTTGCGCCACCTAACCACGTTTTTTTTTCTTACTTCCGATTATATTGTTTAAGCCTGTTTGCTGAGATTAAACAGCTATCTTTAAATATATATATATATATAAATATAAACAAATTTGTGCAGATGAATGAACCATACTTAATCCAATGAATTAAAGAATCCAAGTTTTCAGGAACCCGCCGAAAGCCAAAAAACGGCGGAGCCAGGATTTGAACTCTGGGCCTCCCAATGTCCGGTCGGGTGAAGATATATATATATATATATATATATATATATATATATATATATATATATATATATATATATATATATATATATATATATATATATATATATATATATATATATATATATATATATATATATATATATATATATATATACATATATATATACATATATATATATATATATATATATATATATATATATAGACGACAACCGTTGCTGATTTAAGGCCCGCGCTATTTCCGACATGCGGCAGTGACGTGGCACGTCATCTCAGCTTGCAAATGTCGGAAAGGGCCCGTCTTCCAGGATATCTTAAATCAGCAACGGTTGTCGTCTACCCAGTTAAGCGAATTCGAAACTAAACAGTACACAGAGAGCTGGTCAGAAATTGAGTCTGCCAAAACCAGTGGCCAGGATGGTCTAATCGGTTAAGGCGTCGCCCCGGTCAGGCGAAGGTTGCGGGTTCAATCCCCGCTCCTGGCCCAATTTTTCGCCAGCTCTCTTTCCCTTTCCCTTTCCCTAACTTTAATGCAATAAATTCAATAATCACCTTCTCCCCTCTTCGTTCTCAATATTACTACGGCTGCACTTGTCAATCTTCACTCAATCCCATTATATATACGGTGCAGCCTGTCCCTATGCGGAGGAGTGGTTCCCTAGATATCCTGGAAGACGGGCCCTTTCCGACATTTGCAAGCTGAGATGACGTGCCACGTCACTGCCGCATGTCGGAAATAGCGCGGGCCTTAAATCAGCAACGGTTGTCGTCTACCCAGTTAAGCGAATTCGAAACTAAACAGTACACAGAGAGCTGGTCAGAAATTGAGTCCGCCGAAACCAGTGGCCAGGATGGTCTAATCGGTTAAGGCGTCGCCCCGGTCAGGCGAAGGTTGCGGGTTCAGTCCCCGCTCCTGGCCCAATTTTTCGCCAGCTCTCTTTCCCTTTCCCTTTCCCTAACTTTAATGCAATAAATTCAATAATCACCTTCTCCCCTCTTCGTTCTCTATATATATATATATATATACAGGTGCCGTTTTTTTCCCTTAAAATTGAGACCACATATTGCAAAATGCCCCTTTTCTGAGATATATAAATATTAAAAAAAGGACATGTCGCGCTGTTAGGTCATGCTTTTAATGAGAAAAAAAGGCACGCGTGGCTGTAACTGGGGTCTTTGTGACGTTAAGGGTAGATAGATTATGTTTGCAGCATAAAATTGGATCTTTAGTGCCCAACATCCATCAGCAGCTGTTTTTTTTTTCTTCACGAGAACTTTTATACATTTGAGCTTTTGTTCCTTAGAGATCCATTTTTCATAGCTGCCAACTCTCCCGAATCATCTGGGAGCCTTCCGAATCTTGATAGCATCTCCCGATTGTACGGATGCGACCTCAAAACTCCCGAAGAATGGCCACTCTAGGTTTATTTTTACTTTTTTATGACGCCCGCCCTATTGCTCAAATCATCACGCACGTGTCAGTGCGAGTTACTTGAGAGTAGGTTTAGGTTACTCCAGCGGGTTACCTCATGAAAACTCAGAGCAGCCGCATAAAATGAGGGTAGATTTTCAAACGCCAAGGTACGAAACCTCTACTTCTGAGGAAGCTTGAGCGCATTTCGAACACGGCTTTATATGATCATGGGTGCGCTAGGCTTCAGTTGGCTTTGTCAAGTCATCGAGTGAGGTGCGGAACACCGAACTGTTCTTAGTGTTTCCCCGAGTTTAGTTGGAACAATCGATGGCGCTTTCAAAAGCCAGGAAGTACTTGCAAGTATTTCTGAGATAATAGGCGACTGAGCTTCCATGCTTTTGTCGCTTCACAGAAAGTTGACAAGTATGGATTCTGTATCATGTGCGGCTGTGATGTGTGAGCGTTTTGCACGGCGGCAAGCTTGACATCAAGACACACATCGCTTCACGAAAGCATCAGAACCATGTTTGTGCCGTAGAAGGGCACCATTGGCAGTTGGCCTGAGCTGAGTGCCTCTTCACGTGGTTTCTTTGTCAAACTAAAAAGAAAATTATTGTTTTGACCCCCTTGTGCACGGCGGTCTCCCGAATTTTTATGTTGCTAGGTCGGCAGGTAGGATATTCTGCCCCAGGCACATACTTTGCACATATAATAATCTCATTCGCAGCTCACTTTGAAAAATCTCTACAAATAAAATCACTATTCGATTTGGTATTCTATTCGAGAACTACTATTCGGTATTCAGACACCCCTAGTCATTTCTGATGTATTCTTCTCCACCGAATCAACCAAAAGGGACCTACCGTCTTCCAATAGACCCCACGTGTAAAAGGGCGCCCCTAGTGCCAACTGGGACAGGCTGCCATGTTTAGGTCGCTATAGCAGACGCCACAATGCTGTTGTTGCCCGGCATTTCACATTCGCCGATGTGTAGTGTCAGCTGGCCACGCCTGATGGCCAGAATGAGCTAGGTGAGCGATGTCAGGAACTGCTCATACAGAATTGGGGCATGATGAAGCGGGACGGTTCTAGCTGTTCTCTACTGGACTCGAAGGAAACAAGAAACCGCGATGCGTATGTACAGGGTGTCCCCGAAAAAAATTTACGGGGTTTTTTTCACCTCAAAAATAAACTTCGCATCGCCGAAGGTTTGCCCGAAGGTAGCGCTAGAGGTTTGAACTAGATGCCAATGTTTCAGCGCAAACCAATATTTTATTTGAAAGATAGAAATGACTACTTGAAAATGTCAATAGAAAAATGGTAGATGACGGAGCTCTCGAATGCATGGTGCTCTTTGGCGGTAGAAACCGAAAGTGGGCAAAAGTGAGCCCCATTTTCTTATGGAAATTTTCGGAAAATCTCTTATAACGACGAAAATAATTTAATGACGAAAATAAGGACAAGCAGAAATCTCCAAACGCAGCTAGTTAACTGGTGCACGACCGAAAGAAATCTGCCTGGTCCTGGTATCGAACCAGGGACCTCTCCATTTTTAGTGGAGAGATCCCTGGATCTCTCCACCGGAAATGGACCCCTTCATTTCCAGTAGAGAGGTCCCTGATTCAATACCAGGACCAGAAAAATTTTTTCAGTCGCGCACCAGTTGTTGCGACCAGGCCGACCAGGCCGATCAGACAGTCACGATGAGACAGCAACCGAGGTGGCCAAGGAGGGATCAAGAGAGCTGCACACCCAATGACTGCCGAACAAAAAGGAATTTCATTTGCCCGCCGCTCCCGGGAAGAAAACAATATTAACGCCATGTGGAACGGTGGCGCCATCTGTTAGATGGGCACAACACTACATCCCTCTTTCGTAGTGTCTTCTGCAGCCAAACCTTGAGCTTATAACTTGAGCCTCTTTGGTGGCTCCACTTGCCACCCATAACGGGGTACCCGAACACCTTGAGCAATCCCACAGGTGCTAGGCACATCCGACGAGTCAGGAGTCGGAGCGTTCGCTTGCGGCGCAGCTACGGGGCTTGACTGACCAGGTGTGGCTGGCAGTGGATGGCCCCAGATGCTTGCGGTTGCGTTGCACCGCCCCACTAGGCGCCTCGATGACGTAGGAACGGGGTCGCTGTGCCTGGTCTTGCCGCACACGAAATGTCCTGGACCCAAGCGTCCTCGCCTGCTTCCAAGTCGTTCCTTTGACGACTTCGCACCAGCTTGTCTCGGCGTCTGACGACCTTTGGCGATGGCCACTTGAAAGCGAGTGATCTGGTGACCCCTGGAAGCCAAGTCTGTAGGCAGTTCCGAGGGGCTGTAGCCCTTCAGCAGTTCCGAGGGGCTGTAGCCAGTCACGCCAGGGGTGTCACGATAGACCAGCAAGGCCATGTGCGGGTTGTCCAACTTGACAAAATGCCTTGAGCGTCCGGACCATGTGCTCTGCTTCCCCGTTTGCTTGGGGATACCTCAGGCTGCTTGTCTAATGTGCGAACCCATAGGTGGCCGCAAAGGAACCAAACTCTGTCCAAGAAAACTGTGGAGCGTTGTCTGATACCACAGAGTCCGGGATTCCAAAACAAGTGACGGAGCTCTTTATGGCGGCAATGACGGAACTTGATGTCGTAGACGTAAGGCTCACCACTTCCAGGAAGTGAGAGTAAGTAGTCCACTAATGACGACATAGTGCCGTCCCTTCAGTTCAAACAGGTCCACTTCGACTCGCTGCCACGGACAGTCTGGAGTGGGAGTTCCGACAAGACAGGCCTAGCGTCTCAAGAATGCGACGCGCTTCTTCGGAACCCATTGTGTAGAGCAGGTGTGCACCTGGACTTCCCCGGACGCTTGGTGCAGGCCCGACGCAAAACTGTAATAGTCGAACTGAAGAATCCAGTGTGGCCACTTGTCCGGGTTAGCGAAGTTGAACTTGGGCAGCGGAGCCAGGCCCACACTTGGAAAGGTGACGGCGACAGGGGGGACGCCAGACTCTCGTGCCGCCTCAACTTCCGCCATGGCGGAACGCAGAAGCAGAGGCGGTCACCACGTTGGAGATGAATGTGATACGAGGTTGCGTGATGGTGTGAAGCAGCGCAATGGCGAAGCAGCGTGAAGGCGGCTTGAGGCTTGAGGCTGTTGAACCCTGGGAAGCCTAGCATGGAAGGCGGCCCACGCTAGGCCATTCCAGTTCTGACACCATGTCGCGACCAGGCCGACCAGACGGTTACGATAAGACAGCACCTGAGGTGGTCGAGGAGGGATCGAGAGAGCTGCACACCCAGTGACTGCCAAACAAAAAGGGGTTTTATTTCCCCGCTGCCCCCGGGAAGAAAACAATAATACCGCCGTGGCACCATCTGTTAGATGGGCACAACACTACACCAGTCACCTAGCTGTGTTGGGGAGATTTTTACAGCGGAGCTGTTAAGGGCTAGGTTTCCCAGGATCGTGTCCGGTATTAAACAAATGTCGACACAAAACTCTGGACAGGTACCATCATCTATGAGCGACGGCAGCAACCACACGACCGGCTTGCTGGCCTCGCTCATAGATGGCGGCAACCTTTCCAGCCTTTCCACTCTGCTTTTCACCAGAGTGGAAAGGCTGAATTTCTCTAAGCGTCGTCCTAGATGTCATCCTCGAGATCGTCCTAGAAGTCGTCCTTGAGGTCATCCTAAACGTCATTCTTGAAGTTGGCCTAGGCGTCGTCCCAGAGGTTGTCCTAGGCGTCGCTCTTGAGGTCGTCCTAGACACCGTCCCTAAGGTCGTCCTTGAGGTCGTCCTCTAGGCGTCGTCCCTGACGTCGTCCTTGAAGTCGTTCCACCATAATACAGCTTTGCTGATCTTCCTTCTTCACCAGAGTGGAAAGGCTAGAAGTTTTTTTGTTTGTTCTTTTTCTTGTTTCCCTTCTCCAGGGATTATTTTCGTCATTCTTGTCCAGCTCACTTGCACCTTTGCATTCAATTGCATTATTATCATAACTTTAAAAATGCAGGCCGTTCAACCTTGTTGGTGTTTGACTGGTGGCAGCTGATAGAAACCTGTTTGCTCTACTGATGTCTAACTCCTGGTTAGCTCAGTTGGTAGAGCGCTCCACTGGAAATGGAGAGGTCCCTGGTTCGATACCAGGACCAGGCGGATTTTTCGGTCGCACACCAGTCACCTAGCTGTGTTTGGAGATTTGTGTTTGTCCTTTGTCCCTCTTGTGCCCCTTCTCCAAAGATTATTTTCATCATTCTTGTCCAGCTCGCTTGCACCTTTGCATTTAATTGCATTTTAATAACTTGTTCCACTTTTTTGGTTTTTTATTTTTTCAAAATTTGGCATACTTTTTTCAGTGTTTATTTTAAAATTTAATTTTCGGTATTTTTTGGTGTATATTTCTTCCCCAAAAAGTTTACCGTTATTTTTTTTTTCGGTGAATATGGAAGAAAACTTGTCGGACACCGGATCAGATGATCCTTGCCACTGTGATATTTGTGATCACTCAAAGAATAACGACACATACACATACATGGTCTTCGCTACCACTTCCGTCAGGACACACCTCAAAATCGCGGAATTCGCGGGCTTAATCTTCAGCACGCTTCTTTTTCCCTTTCATTCTGATGATATGACGATCCAAAGTGATGACTGTACAAAAACAAACGAAATCGTAAAAACAAAAAAAAAAAAATTCCATTGTATATATGTTTTTAACTATAGGGAAGTTTGAGAGGGGGTGTTAACAAAGGTATTAAGGGCTTTTGTCGATGTCCTTTGAAGTGCATAAAGCAAAAAACCTTATACTAGCCCACATCTAAACTTCTTTTTTTAGGACCGTGAACTTGACACACTAAGGCCGATCACAGAAAGGACACAGATGCCCCGTGAAGGCCAATCCAAGACCTCTTTGGTTGCATGTTGAACCTTGGAAGAGGGCAATCATGAAGACGTCGCACAATGTCGAACCTTGCAAAGCCCTCTCTCTCTGTCCCCCCCTGCCCCACCCACCTCGATGCAGCCCTAAGAAACTGACCTGTTTCGGTTAAAACCGAATTTCCAAAAATGGATTCGGCAAACTTTTATCGGTTTAAACCGAAAACTCCGAACCCTCCTTATAACCTTGGAATAAAATATTGGTTGGTGCTGAAACTTTGGCATCTGGGTCAGACCTCTAGCTCGACCTTTTGGCGGAGAATGAGCGTTTGGCCATGCATACTTTATTTTTGCAATGAAAAAAACTCTATAAATTTTTTTTCTCAATGCCTCGTACATTAGTGTGATGCCATAAAACATGGTGGGAGAAGTAGAGGAACTACGAACCTTCCCCGCGTACGAGCAGATAACTTGGCTGCCTACAACACAGCAAGGGGTGCACCGCAGAAACTGATGGCGGCGGCGTTCATGATGAGGCAGAGAGCTGCGTGTGGCAAAATATCATGAAATTGACGACACAGAGTTCCGATGTAACGGCGCGATACGGTTCAGCTCATTGTGGACGAAGCTGACCGAAACATGGCGATTTGCTATCCCAAAGTGCCATTTGCGGGGGTGCATTTGTAAAAAGAGTCTATTGGGGCGTCAAGCATTGCACATTTTTCCCTTTCTCGGCGGCGGCTGGCGTACCGGCGTACCCTCAAAGCCCCCACTCCCGCTCGATTTTGTGTTGGCCGCCGGTCGTGACATCTCGCACGTTGCGATCGGCCGCCCAGAGGCTCGGGAGTGGGAGCCACCATTTGCAGCTCAGACTCCCGAGACAAGCGCTCGAATGGGCCGATATCTCCGAGCATTTGGCACACGCATGACGCTCCCGTAAGTTTCGTCTGCGGGAGGTGGGTGATGGCGTGCAAGACTTTCGTGCCGTCTCATGGTCTGCACCACCGCAGAGGGGCTGTCGCGCGTGCAAAAAGACCCTCCTAAGCATTGTGATAGTGGCCAGCGAGATGGGTCTCCTCTCGTAGCATGGTATAAAGGACTGCCAGGACCCGGCTAGAAACGACGGGAGTGCCTTTGATATGGAGAGAGCTCGACTCTTGCTGGAGATCGGGGGCAGGGGGGCCTGAGCTCGAGTTCTTTCCCCCCAGGACCAAGTGAAGGAGGTCAGCTTCCGAGTGACGAGGATACGCTGCTGGAGGATCACCACCGCCGTGAGTACCTTCCTGTGCACCGCAGCCGCCTCTCTGGGGACATCCAACGCAGGTTGGAAAAGTGATTTAGAGTTTAAATTTTTTAGTTACCGAGGCTCAAAATGGCGGGTTAAAAGCAGTTCATCACAGCTATTGATTACCCGACCAAGAACAGTAATCAAATTTCCGTAATTTCATTATTACCCGAGCATGTGAGCGACAGAAAACTGCTAATCTGACTGATGCAAGGAGCACTTGTGCTGGGAGAGTGAGCTTTTAGAGATGGGTTATGCTAAGGAGTCTTTGTTCCCCTGCAGGTGGGAGAGGAGGTGAATGGAGAGGGGCACACCCAGCAGAGGCTGGAGCTCTCTTTTGAGTACCTCATGAGCAAGAACAAGCTCCAGTGGGTCACTGTGGTCAGCAGCCAGGTGACCGGCTCTCTCCTGCAATCAATATTTTCTTTATACATTTTATGTTGGTTCAAGGGAAGCTCCTCTCACTTCTTTCCAGCAGAGCCAACGATGGAGGCGACCTTTGTCGTTTGTCCTGCTAAAGGGCAGGGACCAGCTTCCCCTGAACCCTGTTACCAACTAAAGGGAGCTCAATACACGCACTTACAGTAAACCCCCTTTAACTCCAACACAGATATCTCAAAAGATAGGCTAAGTCTTATCTTTTTTTACATTGTGAAATCAATCCCCATGGGCACCATGTATTCTGACATTGTTTATCTCGAAAAGTTTCTGAAACGGGCATCAATGAATATCTCAAAACCTTGTATGTAAAAAAAAAAAAAAATAAATGCTTGAAAAGATTAAGGCTAAAGAAGAAAGGTTATCTCCATTGCGGACGAAGTGGCTGGTACCTAAAAATAACCCTAACAAAAAGACAGCCGTTGAAGAAAAAAAAAGAAGGAAGCATTGCGGACGCGCCGCCTCCCATCTCGTTTCGACAGTGTCATCGCAGTGGCAGTGTCGTCTGTTTGTTTTCTGCCACATCGTGACCATCGCGAAGATGGCAGAGCCGAGGCAGTGCAGATTGTTGACCTTGGAGCAGAAAGTGGCCCTCGTCTAAGAAGTTGAAAAAGGGGGTCGGACAAAGTCAAGCATCGCCAAGGAGTTCAGCCTCCCTTCGTCAACACTCTAGACAATCGTCAAGAACAAGGACAAAGTCTTGGAAGGATTTCAGCAAACCTTTTCGAGCAAAAGGTTTGCTCCTTTGTTGGGAGGCAGCGTAACTCCCAACGTCCAAGCAGCGGTTTTGCAATGGCTACAGAATGTCCGCGCGGCCAACCTTGCAGTGAGCGGCCCAGTGATAATGGAAAAGGCAGACGCCCTGGTCCCGCAAATAGGCAAACTTCAGCTGCAACAAGGGCTGGTTCGATTGATTCAAGAAGTGAAACAATGTGGCGTCCATGCAAAGAGCGGCTGCGGATAACCGGCGCAACCGGTCCATGCAAAGCGGTCCATGCAAAGAGCGGCTGCGGATAACCGGCGTGTGCTTCCGAAATGCTCGCTTGCCAAAGGAGGTGATCTACCAATCTAGCAAGACGGCCCGGATGAGAGCGGGCTCTTTGAGGGATATGTGCGTGCACTGGATCGCAAACTGGCAAAAGAAAAGCGCAAAGTACTTTTTTTTGTCGACGATTGCTCAGGACATGGGAGGATCGACAACCTCAAGGCGATACAGTTGGAGTTGCTGCTCCCAAACATGACCTCTGTTCTCCAGCCAATGGATCGAGGAGTGATCGAAATAAGTCGAAAGCTGTATAGAAAAACATTCAGCCTTTCCACTCTGGCGAAGAAGGAAGACCAGCAGAGCTGTTCAATGGAAAGTGATGGCCGGCCACAAGTCGGCAAATCAGAGCGCAGAGCCGTATATGGGAAGAGTTTGGCCAGTCTATGATCTCGCCGCCGTAACGCCAGTCAGCCCGCGGCGCAGAGCGAGAGTCGTGACTGCTTGCGCATGAAGGCATACGCATAAACTCCCGGCTGCTCTCAGCTGAGCGGGGAGGGCCGCCATTTTCATTCATTCGCCCGGCGGAATGCATGGGATCGACATCAGAATTTCGGTTTTTTCTTTTTATTGGGCAGGCTCTGGCAAGAAAGTGATTTAGTGTTAAACATTTTAGTGAAAAACCCTAGACTGAGGTATTGACAGACGACGACAAAGAAGAGAAGGAGGGACGTTCTCCTTCTCTTTTTGTCGTCGTCTGTCAATACCTCAGTCTCGGGTTTTCCGCTAAAATGTTTGATATACACCAGCTCACTTGCGCCCTTACGTTCTGCTCACATTGTGTTATTCCTCGGTGGCTTGAAGAGCTAATGAGTAAAGTTTCTCTACGTTTGAACGCAAACTTTTATTGAGGCGAAAAAGAAATAAGCCCGTAGCAGACGATGCGTAGCCTCCACAGTGCTCGGTGCACCGACAGTGTTGTGTCAAAATGGCGGTCGTCTCCTCTTTGCTGCCTTTTTTCTCTGTCGCTCCTTTGGTGTTCTCCCTTGCCTTCACTTTTCTCCTCTCCAGTGCCTTTGTCGCCACACCCACTGGCCAGGCTCTCCCCATAGACGGCTCTGCCAGACTGGAAAGGCTGCTGCCATCTATGAGCGACGGCGGCAACCAGATACGTGGCTTGCCGCTGTCGCTCATAGATGGCGGTAGGTGTCCAGAGTTCAGTGCGTTCACTTCTTTGCGGAGGACACGATCCTGGGGAAACTAGCCCTTAACAGCTCCGCTGTAAAAGCCTCCTCCGACGGATTCTGTTGTCCTACGAGACCGGAAAGGGGTACAAAGTCGACCTCCTAGGCGCGGTTCACCTCATCGAGCACTCCTGGAAACAAGTCATGCCAGCGTCGATTGCGAACTGCTTCAGGCATGCAGGGTTGTCTCGCACCCCGCTAGAGACACAGGCCATGCGGAAGTACAATGACTGGGATGAACTCTGTGACCAAGTCTTACCGGTTGTGCGGACAACGGAGCGGATGGCAACGTCAACCTTGAGGAGTGTGCTTCGTACGTGAGAGATGTCCCAGTGACCGGCGACATGACCGATGCTGATATTATTCTGGCAGCTTTGGGCAATGTGGACGACAAAGAGGAGGACGATGAACCACCTCGAGAGATTTTGACGTCGGCCGAGACGTGGAACATGCTGTATCTACTCCGGAACAAGGTTGAGTGCAGCGGCAGTGAGTGATGCGTTCCTTGAAAATGCTTTAAGATGCTCTTGTGGCCCCAAACGCGAAGCAAATGGATATTGCGACGTTTTTCAGTGCCCAATAAGTGAGTGGGAGAAATAAAATGTGTAGCCGTGCAGTGACCTGCTTCCCGATATTATTGCAAAGGCTCATCGCAACACCTCACAGCTCCGTGACGCTCGCATTGCACGTACCAGGTACGCTTGTTTCTAATTAATTTTCTCTCGTTGTAGTAAGCGATTTCTTGCTTGAAAAGTAAGCTGCGATTGGTATGATTCTCGGAAGCACTAGAATTTCTAAATTCGTGGTCGGTACTTCGGAAATTTCAGTACACTGCTTATCTCGAATATTTTGTTTTTCTCGAAATTTTTGTTGGTTTATAGGACTTTGAGTTAACGGGGGTTTACTGTACTTCTCTAAAAAGTTCTTTTTTTGGGGGGGGGGGGAGGGGGCGGGGCAAGGCGGGGTGGGGCAAGGCGGGGCGGGGCGGGGCAGTGTGGGGCGGTGTATAAAATTGCTTCTGCATTCTAGGAACCTTTTTAACATATATATTTTTCTGGGGGAGGGAGAGCTTAATGCATTGTCTTATTTCTTATACAAATTATCTAAAAATTGCTTTTCCCCCATCCTAGGGAGCTCAATGCACTGCCTTATGTCTTCTTTTTTGTAAAAAAATTGCCTTTTCTGCATTTTAGCGAGCTCAATGCACCGGATTATTTCTTCTGGAAACCATTTGTAACAACAGGGCCTTGAAATCCTGGTTATTTTGTAGTCCTTGAAAATGACTTGAATCTTGTAATTAGTTCTGTAATCAGGGATGGTTGCTATTCTTTCTTTCGTGAGTCTATTGCATTTGTTGGTACTGCGTCGATCGTTTTTGCTCGGCGGATAATTGAATAGGATAACGGGATGGGCAGTGTTTTGGGGGTAGGTGTTTGTTTACAGTGATCCATGTTCCAAGTGGAGTATGACGCGGATGGAGCGGTCTTAGAAGGGCCAAGATGGCGGTCTCTGGGTGCAGGCAATCCTGCTGAGCGTCTGCCTCCAGGGCATGGTGGGGGAGCTGCTGCTGAAGAAGCAAGGCGCCAGCCGTCCCGGCCAACCTGGTGGGCTCTCACACCCCAAGGCCGGCCGCAGGGGCTCGTGGAGCTTTCTGCGCAGAGACGGCAGCGGCTACCAGATCTCGGTCAGCCGCTCCGCCTCCAGCGACGGCATCGTCCGGGACGCCGTGAGTCTCCCACCGCAGCTCTGTGCTGGCTTCGCATTTATGCTATAGATTCTGGGTAGATTCTGGTTGGCTTTGCATTACCGTACAGGTGTGGCGCGGCCAGAAAGCCATGACAAGGAAGTACAGTAAAATCTCGTTATAACAAAGTTGAAGGAGCGGTCCTAATTATTTTGTTATAACCATTAGTTTGTTATAGCCAATGTCCATCTCTCCACTATTAGCAAGCAAGGGGAATTATGATTGCTTTGTTATATCCATTAGTTTGTTATATCCCATTTTGTTATAACGAGGTTTTACTGTATCTTAGACGAATAACCACAGCAAAAAGGCGGCATGACAGCTTTTACAGCGGAGCTGTTAAGGGCTAGGTTCCCCAGGATCGTGTCCGGTATGTGGACACAAACCTACCTGGACAGCTACCGCCATCTATAGGCCACAGCGGCAAGAATACAACCAGTATGGTTTCCGCCGTCACTCGTAGATGGTGGCAGCCTTTCCAGCTATCATAGACTAATTGATAGTTGGGCGCGTTGGTGGAAATTCATCGTAGGAAACAGCGCGAAAACCAGGCGACGACGATGAAGAAGCACACATAACGAGCGCAGCGCTCGTCATATTTGTTTCTTCGTCCTCGTCTGTTTTGCTTGCTTTTTCCCACGCTTTTATCAGTTTCGGTTTGGACTCTCGATGGGTCGGCCGCATGCCCTTTCGGGAAAAGGAGACAGGCTGCGGAAGGAGTGGCGACGTACGCAGCAGCGTGAATGGGTCCGCAACCGCCACCAAGTTGCTGTCACCTCGACTTTCACTGCGTCCTGCGCTTCAGATTCCCTTGCCAAAGAGCACATCGCTCGCCTGGAACGCTGCCGCCGAGAACAGAACCAGCGAAGTAAAGGGCACCGGCGGGCCAACACCACGGACGTTGATCGTGCCACGGAGATGAAGCGGAAGCGTGAGGCCCGGCGACGACTGCACTCCACACCAGCTGAACAGCTCCCGGGTGCCACGGCGAGGTTCCGGAGGGAGTTCGTGGAGAACCTGTTTGGCACGTGCGCCGTGTGCGACCGACTCTGGTTCGCCGGAAACGTATCCACGATTGGCGGTGTGTCGGACAAGAAGAAGCTGGAATCGGGCGCGTTGTGGCAGTATGTCAAGTACAGCTCTGCTGGTCTTCCTTCTTTACGAGAGTGGAAAGGCTGAAAGTTTTTTTCCTACTACTCGCCGGTCACGGGGAATTCCACTCATAAATTGATTGCTCATTATGTTCCTTCATTGGGCATCATTTGTGAATCAAGCCCCCTGTTGTTTAGCTCAAACGACGTCCGTGGGTGTTTGCCCGTCGGGGTCGCACGCCCTTTTGATTTGACCGCCCCCATTGTTGAGCAGAGTGCCTTGCAAGAATACATTGATGCGAACACCGACGCAAGTTTCTAGCTGGCCAGCTTGACGTGGGAATACATCCTGCTGCTGTAACCCCACACTTTCCCCATTCGCAGCCCGTGGTCTCCTTGGAGTTGCACTTTGAGTGCTCCTACATCTCGTGCAACGTCTTCCTGGCTGAGCAGCCTCCTCTCAGCACGTCAATCGCAAAAGGACGTTTCTGGCACATCTTTTAGCCGAGACTGAGAATCTTTCCCAAGATATTTTTTGAGCTAAGGTCTAGTCAAATCAAACTTGGGGAGGCTAGTGCGCTTATCGGGGAGCCACAAGTCCAACTTGGACCTGCTGGAAGGACAACTCTTGTAGAGATCTTGTGTAGATTGCAGTCTAGTTACCTTTAGCACAAACTCTGTTGGGAAAATGGCGGCCGACGGAGTTTTCAAGTACATGGGGCTCTATGGCACCAGAAACCGAAAACAGACAAAAATGGGCTCCATTTTCCCATTGAAATTTTCAGAAAATCACTTATAACTTTTGAATAAGGCATCGGATCGGGCTGAAACTTTGGCATCTGGTTGTGACCTCTAGCGCTACCTTTGGGCTGAGAATGAGCGTTCGGCGATGCTTAGTTTATTTTTGCGGTAAAAAGAAACCCTGCATATTTTTTTTTTTGTGCCACCCTGTGGATGCTAAACGTGTCCTGTTGGTTACCTTTCACTTTGTCCTCATCTTTCCACTGTTTTGTTTTTTATTATGATGTAGATTTTGCATAATTTTTGGTATGTTTCCACATAGATTATGGTATGGGTTCCGTGTAGACTATGTTATGATTTACATGTAGATTATGGTACAGGTTTTGTATAGGTTACAGTATAGGTTCTTTGTAGGTTATGGTATAGGTCCTGTGTAAATTATGGCAAGAGAAGATTATGCCTATGAATGATATAAGTAGCGCCAAGGACAGATTTGAGTACAGGTGCCTACTTTGCCGCCGCAAGCTTTTTAGGGGTGTCGTATCTCTGCCAAACTTTTCCCAAAGTGTTGTAGCCGTACCAACTTTATGTCAGCATCAATTTTTGAAAGCATCAACTTATGCTTCTGAATTGACATCCTTTCGATACAGTAACTTTGCGGTGAAGGGCGAGGAAGAAAGAACCGCATGACGAATGCCTCGGTATTTTGTCAACCTGATATCTTATCATTATCTTAGAATAAGTTGCTCCATCAAAGTGGCAGTCAAATTTTGCGTAATCTTAGTTCTCACGATGGATTGTTTTCAGTGTGGGTTTTGAGGTCAGAGTTAAAGCGAGATAAATATCTGGTTGGCTATGAAATGTTTAGCTTCTTATGGTTCCTGCCTGTGACGGCACTATTGTAAGTATGTATCCGTTGCAAACAAAGTGTTCAATGGTGCCTGTAAAGAGCGCTAAAAGCTTAGAAAGTGGACAGTCTAACATAACTCTGATTTCGGTCCATGAAAGCAGAATTAAGCCTTTTACGGACATCTTGGTGAGGGTTTTGTCAGTCGTGGAAAGCTGACCGCAGTAAAGCTTTTGGTCGTGCATGTAGCAGGCTTACCTGTGTGCACCAACATCCTGACAGCATCTTTGTCCCTTATTCCTTCCAGGGAGAAGATTCAAAGCCCAGGCCCAGAGATTTCCCCAAAAAATTGACCGTGAGTTCTGATCTTGCTGCATTCTGAGAAGTGAATTTAAAGAATTTAGCCCATAGATTTTTTTAATATGGCTACCATAGTCTCTCATTAAAGAAAGTCTAAAGGACAAAGAACAATTTTATAATTCGATAAAGTGGGGGGCAGCACAAACAGTAACGATTGCCATGAAAATAGACGGGAACAGCGCAAAAGACTTAAAAGAAATATTTAATTGAACCAGCCTCGGTAATGAGTACTAGTTTTCAGGATTGTACTGGGGGGGTAATAAAAGAAGTAGCCTATTTCCTCGCCTGTTACCCGCATTAAGATGGAGATCAAAGGGAAGGCGAAGTAGGAATGATACTTGAGTTGACGGCGGTGCGTCCCAAGTCGTAGATTCCCCAGAACTGCTCTCCTCTCCAAGGGACTTCTCTCCAGTTGACCATCCTTACTTCTTTTCTGGGTCTTTGCATTGTTTGAACGGCTGAACTGAGTCAGACTCAACCTTAGCATGTTGTTTGCCCTCGTTCGTTCATCATGAGCTGCCCTTGGTGGCAGTCATTTGTGACCACGAGCTTTCCAGATGCAACGAAACACTTATGCAAAGTGCTGCATTGGCAATTGTCTGATGGCACGGATCAGGACACATTCTGCTACAGTGAATAGTATTCAAAATGAGGGTAGAGTTTGAGATTGCTTGGCATGCTTAGTGCAGGCAACATGCGAGCTATTTGGGAGTAGTAAGCGAATAATGCTTGCTATTCGATTCGATTCGCTTCGCACTTTTGCTGTTGGAAGTATTCGAGTTTTTTTAATACTTTGGAAACTACGAATAATGCTGAACTCGCCGATTAGTGTCAACTCGTGGTCGAGTTCCCTGTCTTGTTTTTGGACAAACTCAAAAAGCCAACCTAAGTTCCTTTTTTTTTATATGGTACACTGGAAACTTATTTGCGGTAGTGCGATCTGCAAACAGATCACACTACCGCAAATCTGCCTGTCTTCTGCTTGCCATGATGTCTGGATTCCGGAGTTAGCGAAGTGGTTGTGACGCAAAAGCTGCGATAGATTTGATGAAGTTTGCAACGGCACGTGCATCGTTGTAAGCACAAACGCGACGGACCACTCTCACTACTATGGATTCGGATACAGATTTACGGCCGACCACAGCTATCGGCGATATCAGACTCGTGTTATTTTCCCGCTTGATTTTCCGGTTCATCAGTTTGCCGGTATTTCGTTTGTTATTTATTTCTACCCGTTTTCACTAATAAAAAGGAGACTTGCTCCCTTCGAAAAAAAAAAAACAAAAAAAACAATGTATTTTTAATTTGATACTACAACGAAATTTTGGCGCTCATTTTTTGGCCTATATGTGTTCAAAGAAGCAGTATCACATCGAACATTCCAATATTTTGTTAAAAAAGTCACGAAAAGGAATTTCAAAACGAATTAAACGATTAGCAAAGAGCACCTGGTGGATGTCGCTAACGTCTCGCTTGTAATGCCCGTCTAGAAACCTTGACAGCTAGTGACGGAGGTTGTCTCGCCTCCGCCCACGACGAGAGAAGAGGGGCAGGAGGTACTCCCCTCTTCCCGAGAATGCCTTTTGTGTGTCGCAGAAGTCGCTATTGTCCCCCTACAAGATTACAGAAGATTAACCCGTCACTCAAAATTCGTACAAAAGCAGCAGCTTCGGTGGCTGGAATGACTAGGCCATCCTCTCGACGTCAGCCTCGCCGTAGCTTTGCTCGTACTGAGACGACCTACGTCACGATTGCGTTGGATGTCACATGGTCTCCGCTAGGCCTTCTCCGAGCGCTTGCCATAGAGTGGGCCGTTTATAACGAAAAATACAGCCAGCAGGCTCAAAATACAAACGTCAAACGTGCAATTGTCATTTACGGATATTGTGGATCATATTCAACCTTTTTTTGAACGCGACGGAAATATTTCAAATTTCGTTGAAGTACCCCTTTAACGTGCACCAGGCCGTAGTGATACACGACCGCACGCCGGTGCAATGCTCATCCGGATGGAAACGGGCAGGGGTGGGGATTGAACCGAGGATCCTAGGTTCCGCAGCGCAAGGTTTCACTCTGTGCTCTGCGCTAGCCCACTCGGCCACCGATCCCCCCAGCATGATGTCCAACTCTGCTGTGGCCTGCCGACCCGCCTCCGCTTGTGTACTTCAGTTTACGTTCACGTGGTTGCGTAAAAGGATTTTGCACAAAGTCGGTGCAGCTGCACGACGCGGTCTTCAACTTTGTGTTGGGGCTTGCCGACCCACCTCCGCTTGTGTACTTTCATTTACGGTCTGTAACTTCACTCCTGGAATTGTGTTTTATTGACTGATCTTTTATTTCATCCGTTTTTTATTGTTCACGTGTGTGACATTTTTCTTGTTGCAATAAAATTAACCTTTTCATAAATGGGTGTTGAAAAAAAGAAATCCAGTTGTTTCTAATTGACTTTTTTTTTCTATTATAACTTGTGATTCAATGAAAGTTAAATTTACATAGCTTATCTGCCATTACAATCTGACTACGATATGTACTTGGTTCTGATGTAACCTAATTAGTTTTGTTAGTATTGCAAATTGATAAATTTGACAGAAAATGAACTCTGAAAGGACGGAACATGAGAGAGAGAGAGAGCTTTCCGAGCCAACGGGGGAAACCCAAATGCTCCTAACTTGCCGGTGCAAAGCTGGTTGCACGTGCCAGTGGGAGACGGTAAAGCGGTTGCACAATTACGGACTCTAAGCGATTACGAATATTAACGGGCGGCTGCGAGCCGGGAAGACATAGAAACTGGCAAAATGGGATAGTCTCTGCCGCATGGAGCGCAACCAGTCTAGCCGAGAATGGTTGGTCTCCCGCAACTTTTGCTCTTTGTCTTATTAATAGTAATAATGGTAATAGAAAAATAGACCCTCTGACTAAATGAACCGTTTCATTCAAGGACGGAAAACGGGGAACGTCTCTCACATCTCCGAAAGCCACGATGGAGAACGACGCTTTCGAAGGCATCGGAGACGACGACCTCTGAGTGCCGCACTGGGCCTGGAGGACTGGCGGAGAACCAGTGCCAAGCTGCTCGGACGCCACACTTCCTTCCAGCACCGCCTCCCCGTCAGTCGGCAGACGAGGGGTTCTGCCGGTGGGCCAACACAGACTGGTCACAAGCTGCGGGAGCGGGTTGCGAGATTTGTTAACGGGTTCCACGACCGGAACTCAAAGTCTTCTCTCAGCGCTTGCACATGTCGCTTTTGCCGTACGTGGCCGGCGTAAGACGGTTCCGTCCGTGGAAACTCCGCCCTCGGAGGGCGGGTGCACCGAGGCCACGCGACAAGCTGGCGAGGGGTTGGTTCTCTTCGCGGTTTCGACGCAGTTGTGGGCTGGCCAGTTTGTCGGTTGTGGGTGCTTTTTCCTACTTAGTTTTTGGCCAAAGTTTATTTGCCTCATTTTTTACTTCGCTAAATTAGCTACGGTCTAGTTGTTATGAGTCACGCTATAATACGCCGAGAAACACGGACAAAAACGGTGCAGTGTGCGAAGGGGCTCTCGGGAGGGTGGGTAGGTCCGTCGTCTTGCCTTGTATTCCCAAGATGTCCCACAATCTGAACAAGGTGGCCCATCGCTTTGACGTACCGGTTGTTTTTTCTGCACCAAACAAACAAGAGCAGACCGGGAGAGACCCGCAAAAAACGACGTGTCGCTAAGTTCCACGAGCGCACCACTAGCGTCTCGTACGAAATTGCCCCGTCATATGGTGAACGTTGGTGAAACATGGAGGTGCATCTGTGATAGGGTCAGAGAGCGTGCGGTGGCGATCGGTCAGTCCCCGTCTGGCCACCTGGCGGTGCACTGTGACCGTCGCCACGAGAAGCCCCTTCTTTAGTGAGACCTGCGTCGTGGGCCGTTAGAAAACAAAAACGGGCAGATAAATTCACAAAGCCTTCCGGATGAAGTCCCACCGCGACAACTCTGGCATAAGCGCACCCTCTTTGTCATTGTCCGATAAAGAATTCTACTAGAACCACTGACGCTGGTATCTGAGGGGTGTGTGTTTTTAGACCATATCCTTGTGTTCTGCCGAGTGATTTCATTCAAATGAACCATTCAGTTGAAAGCTACACCGCGTCCAGTTCTCCCTTCGTTTTCGTTTGTGTTTTTTGGCGTATTATACCATGATGCAAACCAACTAGCCATCCTTATTCAAATCCATTATTATGAGAGGATCTGTTTAGTATTATAGTTGAGGACGTTCCTTCGTCCCTATTTGTATGGGAGCGTTTGTTTTCAAGTGGTCGATTGGGCAAGGGCTCAAGGCGTCATTCTTTAGCGTTTCACTTTTACCATTCGAACCTTCCATGAAATGCTCACGTCAAAGTGCGGTGCGCTTGCCGATAATTTGGGGACCTTTGGAATGTGTAAAGCGTGTGGATGGTAGGGTCCTAAGACGCAGTCGGAAATCTCTGTAGTGGACCTTGGAGTTGACGATAAGCAAACAGAGACATCAATACTGCTTGCTTTCTGCTTTTGTCACATTCAGACGCAACGGGTCGTGTTGTATTTTCCGCAGTGTGGATCGGCCGAACGAAGATTTTGTGCCAAAAGTTAGCTCGAGCCTGGATGGAGGAGATTGGAGGTTGATACGTCGAAATGTGCACGGACATGGTGTGCACTCACTGGTGGCAATTAGCTTAAAAATCTCTTCCAATGTGCAGTCGGACGACACTCGCTGAGCATTGCCCCCTGGCCGTGTCTGTAAATAGTGTGCTTTTGATATGTCCAGAAACTGGGAAAGGACGGTTTGCGAGGATATGTACAGTGCGTGGGGAGGCCAAGGCTTGTTGACAGTGTGTATATACATAAAGGTGAGCATCTATCTATATTTTGTATCATTCCAACGAGTATTGGGGCTGTCTGCTCGATTGTTTTATATCGATTGTGACCGTTTTTATCTCGAGTCTCAAGAAAAGGCGATGTGAGCGGGCGTGCAGCCAAACATTTGTTTGGCTGCCGGTTCTTGTTTCTGTTTTCCCCGTAGAGAATACTCATGCTTCGAATGCTTTACACATTGTTTTTAAAAAAAGCTGCGGAAGCTGCTCTAATGCAGTCTGTATAGGCGAGTTATATTGCGAGGGGGCCTTATAGGCCACTGATTGTCGCAAAAAGTCAGATAATTAACTTACTGTTTGTTCATTAACGTCTTAATTGGTAAAAATGAACAAGGTCCAAGTAGAAACTTGCTAAGCATTTACAAAAACCGCTAATGGGTCAAGTTTAGAAAGGCTCGAGGTGGGGAGTGCAGGGATGCACTGACCTACGCAACACACGCGAAGCTGGGAGTGCCAAAACGTGGATGATGAAATTCTCATCCAGATTTTTGCAGCACCAGCCTCGTGGCATTGCACAGAAGATAACCTTAGCGCCCCACCACACTTCCCCCCACTTCTTCTAAAGTCTACTAATGAATGGTTTTGGAGCAAGTTTCTCATGAGAACCGTGCGTTTATTTTTACTAATTCAAAAGTTAAGGAACATGTTTTAGTTATTGGGACGATTAGCCCCTTATAGCATGTCCCCTTGGCATATGACCCACCTGCCCAAACGGCATTGGTAGTGTAGCTTCTACGGCTTTCTTTCCACAAATCTGTAAAAGGCCTAAAAAAAACAGCATATAGTAGCACGTTTGGCTGAGGTTTCTGGAGGGCAACGTTTTGTTCAGTTGGAAAGCTTTCATATTCCTTAAACCGTAGGGTGCTCTTTGCTACTCCTTGAAGCCTATTGGAGCCATCCAGTCTTCCCAGATTTTATTTTATTTGAATGACTATGCTGCGAGCTAGGCTTTGTAGTTTTGCTTTTAATTGTTTGCATCTTTGTGGGAAGTCACTCAGTAAGAAACAAATCTAGCAACTCTTTCTGGTTTTGTTATTTTTAATGATAAAATAGAAAAACAACTTGAGGTTTGCATTGAGCCTCCAGAAACTGACAGGAAATGCCTTAGGCCTGAAGGGAAGCCCCATAATGAATATTGGTTTACTATTTCCATATTATTTGAACGTTGACTGTAAGCAATCCTTATGTACTATCCACACATACATTTCTTGTTTTATATTTATCGTGTAACGATGACTGTGCCCAATTTACAATCTTCTGCGGTATGTGATACGTCATAGTACTTGGGGTTTCTCTTGGTTTTGGATGATATAGTGTGAGTCCAGTCTGCAAATATTTTGCTTATACTCTCTTGTGCTTTTGGGGCAGAATAGCTATTGCAAATCCGAAAAGAATCCTTAGATAAATTCAGGGTTTTTTTTTCGTAAAAATGAACTTTTTTTTTATACGGTGTTTCTGTTGCCTTGGTCTGTAGACAACTCATTCTTGGTGCAAAAGTGCTGGTTTCAATGTGTCCTCTCACATGTTATTCTGATGACTATTTTAGGGACAGCTGAAATGGTTATGGACTCGAGTAAAGAGGGAATAAAAGTGATTTCTGTGCACCTTGACAGATTTTGCCTCGTCTCATATTCATGGGAGGGCCGTCATCGATTAGTGTGGTCCCTGGCAGAACGCATGCTTCTGCGGACGTCTTCAGGATGGGGGTCTGGACATTTCGTCCAACACCATTTCATGGAATGCGGTTTCACCAAGCGCCATTTCATCAAACGCTGTGACCGACCTCGCGAGCCAGTTTGGCTAGGCCACCAATGCATGCATCGAGGGAAGCCTTTTTGCTCGTGCAACAGCCACGCTGGAGCTCTGCTCATGCAGGGCCTCCTATAAACTTACAAAGCCCGGCAGAAAATAGAAAAGGTGGAGCGGCAGACGACGGATGAGAGGAGGGCCACGTGATTGGCGCCCCGCTGCGGCGAGATGCCGAAACTCGCTTCTCCCGACGGTGGCTTAGCAACTTCTTTCTGAGTGGGGGGGCAAACCAGACCAACCAACCCCCCACCCTCCCCACCCCCCCCCCCCCACCAGAGCCGTGAGGCTGTACCTTTGGTATCCTTTGGGCGCTGCCAGCCAGTGTTTGCCCTGCCCAGTGGCGGCTGTTTCAGGGGGGGGCAAGACACATGCCTTGCTGCCCACTCTGAGAACTAGGGGTGCCGAGCGCCCCCCTTGCCCCCCCGGTTGGTACACTCATGTGTCACGAGCGAACAAGCGTGTTTCGGGTCCTCGCCGCTGCAAAAGCTCCGTGCCGACGTCCAGGTTTCCCGAGAAATGGCTCTTTGATGCTCTGTGGTCTTCGCGCTCCAAATCTGAGACCGGGCACTCTACGGCTCCGTTGTCGAAGTGCCAGGCTTTAGGAGTATAGAGGAGGCTATGACAGAGCACAAGACGGGCACTGCCGCCTCCAAGCTCAAGTTCTTCATGCATGCGCCCAACACTTGCTGAGTAGTCTAGTATTGAGCACTAAAAATTCTGAATCTAGTGAGCAGTTTCCTTTTAACACCAGGAGAATAGCAGAATTATTTTCATTTTTGACCTTTTGTAGCAGGTTCCGTAGCAGGCGCAATATTGGTTCGGAGCAGCCACTGACTCTTGAAGCAGATGCCAACATCTCTTCACTTGAGAAGGAAGAAGTGGTCTCTAAATGAGTTCATTTAGGATAGTGACTGAGGGTTCCTCTTTGTGCTCGGGCATATTACTTGTCACCTTTTGCAATAACGACAGGTAGGACGTAAAAGGAACACAGTTTTCTTAAATAAACCTCTAGTCGGGGGTTTTATTTACAATGAGTATTACAAAATGTTTGAAAAGTGAATCATAGCGCGAGGCTTATTGAAATAAATCTTCTCTCCCTTCCCCATCTTACGCTCGGTAGTGTGTTTAGCCGGTAAATAGAATTTCTGTAAGATGCCAGCAAGAACCAACATGTCCACTAACAATAAAAATGCATCGTGTACGTTTAAGGAACCTTCCATACTCCAGACACTAATATAATAAACTGCAAAAACAACCACACAAAAATGTTCTAAAAGCCTAGACTTGCGCTTTGAAGGCGACTCTGCTCTTTAGTGGCGCAGGGACCAGAGTTATTCGCTGCTCTTTCGATCGACAGCTGCTAGTGAACTACCATGACTACCGTATTGATTCAAATATATAGTTTTCTCTTTCTCTGCTTTTTTTTTATAGCGCAGCTCTTACGCACCTGTTTCCGGGTTGAGCGGCGTCGCTGTAACTGCGTGCATTGCATTCTGGGACGTTTTCCCGCTGAAGTTAGTGGAGAAATTTCCCCCTTAAATTTAGCAGAAAAATGATGAGCCATTCCACTCTGTGCAGGTGGATACCAGCGAAGCTGTTTAGCGTACGACACAGACGTGACGCAGAATTTTGAACGAAGGTACGAATACATTTATTGTCTCGATCAATGGTCATCAACACACACGTACGAGACAGAAAGGAAATAGTGTGACGACACAATCGTGCAGGCTATAAGATTATTGTGAAAGTTCCATGATATCCAGATACTTATAATTTATAAATCAGTTATCTGTCTTTGTGGAATGCAAAAGTATTTTTTGAAGGAGAATGGTGAGGGGCAGGCACTTTAATCAGAGCCGTTTGTGCTGAGAGAGTTTGGCCTTCTGTACGAGATTTTGACAGCCTGGCAAGCACAGCGGCATAGTCTGAGAACCGGGGGATGACTACTTCCGTCTGCCATTTTGGGGCTCTGACTCGTGGTAACTGTGCAATTTCTCAGCATTAAAGAAGACAAAGAAGTAACACCTTTTTGTGTTATCGCAAAATCCGCCGGTTCTAGCGGGCAGCAAGCTCCACCCATAAACGGTTCTGGCTTTCATGCGAGTCGGGCCCCCTCTGACGCGAAACCCTGCGCATGCCTCTGCATATTTATTTATTTCAAAATACTGCGACCTCGATGAGGTCATCGCAGGAGTGGAGAGAAAACATACATATTCAAAAAGGCCATCGATTAAAGATGTACATACCCTGCAAAACAAAACTTAGAAAACCGTGAAAAATGCAATGTAAAAAAGAGTACAGAAACAAACAGATACACTTCAATTGCAGATTCCAGGCACCATACCAGAACACCTACTGTATTTCTAATACAAACCTATCAAAATCGAGACAACGAACTGATCCATTTATGTTATTCCAATTTTCTAGCGTTCGAGGAAAAAAAGAATATTTAAAACAGTTAAGGTGGGCTCTGTACGGTACAAGATTTAATGGATGGAAGCTTCGAGTGTGTGATTCAGTAGCAAAACTAACATATTTTTCCCGATTAAGTGCACAGTTATTATTCCCTATTTTGTGTAGGAGCTTGAGCCGTTCTACAGCGCGTCTAGAATCAAGAGGCACAAGTCCTATGTCAGTCATAGTAGATGTAGGAGAAAAATTGCGGTCATATCTATTACAAATAAATCTAGCTGCCTTTGATTGTATTGCATCAATCTGCTTAATATCACCCTTTAGATACGGATCCCACACCACACAACCATACTCTAAGATAGGTCTAATCAAGGTTTTATACGCCATTATTTTAACTTCCCTAGTTGAAGATTTTAAAGTTCTCTTGACATATCCTAGTCTTTGCAGAGCACGAGAACAAATAGAACTGATGTGCTCATCCCATTTGAAACTAGGTGTGAAAAAAATACCCAAATATTTGTATTCATGAACTTGACGCAGAATTATATATTACTAGTACCATACCTAAAAACAGACGGTTCCTTCTTATTAGTAAATGACGTAACTAAAGATTTCTCAAAATTCATTTCCATCTGCCACTTTTAGAGCACAGCTCTTAGGTGCCCGTTTCCCCGAGATCACGTGGCCCCCCTCCCCGAGATCACGTGGCCCCCCTCCCCGAGGTCACGTGACCCTCCCCGAGGTCACGTGACCCTCCCCGAGGTCACGTGACCCCCTCCCTCTAGGTCAAATGACCCCCCCCCCCCCCCCCCCCCCCCCGGAGCATATTGAAGAATGAGGGGAGGAAGAGGTGCGGTCTACCCTCCCCCTCAGTACCCTTCCCTCCTCCTCCTCAAGAGCTGCTCTCCAATTCGGCGTTACAGGGAGTTGTAAACGGCTTTCACTTTATTAAAAAACTGTTCATAAGAGTCATTTAGCAAGGCATGGTCATCTACCGAGTTGATTTCGTTGTACAAAACGCAATCATCTGCATAGAGGCGAATTTTAACTGGAAGTCCATTTGCGACGTCGTTAGTATAAAGTAAAAACAAAAAAGGTCCTAAAACCGGTCATGGTTTCAGAAATACAGAGGGGAAGAGAAGATGGGTTGTAAAGAAAGTTTAGGTTAGGTGGCGCAAGCTACAGCCCGATACAAAGGGTACAGCCGGTAACACAGAGTAACATTCATCCATCTATACACCCATCTGCCGACGGCGACCCCAGCGACGCCAGCGACTCTGGCTCTGCTCTGACTCTGCTCTGGCAACGAAACTACACTGAAACGAAACAATCCTCGATCCGCGAACTAGCCGACTAGCCTACCGCAAAAGAGAGGTCGGGTAAATTTTGGAACATTGTCCGACCCTTTTTATCTACTTTCTATCGGCGACAGGAGCAGTCTCTTTTTCCGCATTTGCTCGCAGTATTTTTATTTCAAGATTCCAGCTGTACACGTCATGTTGGTCCAATTTTCGCCGACTTATCTCGAACCGCTTTGACGAAAGAGCGCGCTTTTGCAACGAACCACGAAGTGAGCACGGATACTCTGCCGCCGCCGTGAAATTATTGTCGGGTGTGCGATCCAACGGAGTCCGCGACCGGCCCCAGCGGTGAGGCCCGTGAAGCCTACGCAGATCATGTTCCAAAACATCCGCTCCTGCTAGAAGCCTGCTGGTGAGTACCGAACTGCCTCGGTCGTCAGGCCACGGAGCTTTTCACCGAGCTCCTTCCTCGAGGTTGATGTGTTTCTGACCCGTAGTTTCCAAAGACCAAAAGCAACGTGCAACGAGCACTCAACTAGCCAATAAACGCTGTTGCAAAGTCCTTGCGTATGAGCCGGACGAATGATTCGAGGAGGCGGCGAGCTGTCAACACTCCGCAGGCTGCGACAGTTCTTCCGGGTCGGTCATTGAACCAGTTGCGGCCGGTCATTCATTGGGCCTCGTGTGCGTCCGTTGCCTACCCGAGCAGTTTTGGATCGTGCGGGCTCCGTGTTTAATATCACGCTCAATCGAATTGCACCGACGTAGGAAAAAAGAAGGGCACAAGGAGTAGCCATTTCCGACGGTGCCTACGCGGCATTTGACATTGTAGAACGCAGGCTCTTTTGGAGCGCTCTCAATCAATGATCAGCCGCAATTAAGCTTGCTCTAATATGCCTTGAGGTGGTTGATCACACTATTTCTGAAGAGAGAGAAACAACTTTATTGGAACACCACATCAAGAAGCCGCAGGATAGACGTTCACCTACCGCGGCTCCCCCCCAACCCCCCTAAAAAAAAAAAGTGTTCCTGAAAAAAGAAAGAATGCAACGAACAGCCAAAAACGACCTTGTTATGGCAGGAAAGCAACCGTCTGGCCGACCCCATTCTCACGCACAATATGAAACTTGACCTTTGAAATGAGCACCCGAAAGCAGGTCCAGCAGATGCGAGCGTGTCTGGCTAGGGAGCCTACGTGTCTGGCACCACCTGTGAACCACTCTTGCTTTCCGTTTTTTCCTGGCAAAAAAAAAAAAAAAAAAAAATAAATAAATAAATAAATAAAAAAAGAAAGGTATTTTTTTTAGCTTCCCTTTGTTTGCATGACCAGACTGTCTGAGAAGTTTAATCGCATTTCGTTGATTGGCTAATTTATACAACTTGCTTTATAGCGTTCTGAAACAGCCTGTCGATCCTACTGGGCACAGGCATTCCCAACCAAAGATCAGTTGTTAACCTTAATAACCCAGCCCTCGAGCGCATGATGTTGGAGGTTCCATTTGTCGGCTCTTGTAATGCCTCGAAGCAGTGCACCCCACGGGCAAAGCTAGACAGACCTGAAAAGGAAGAGCTCTCTGTCCTTTGCACCTTACCTGCTTAATATATCTTCCATTCTATGTCTTTCATTGCCGCCCCGAGAAAGATGAGAACGCTTAGGCATCTTTGCGGAACAAAACTTGAAGAGGCCCTCCAAACCTATTTAAGCGTCTTCCTTTTTTGCGGTTTCCACATCTCTTGTGGTAGGGGAAATCCAGTGGGCATGGAGAGAGCAACTAAACATTGGTGCATCATATTTTAACCGGGTGACATGGAAACCTCTTCCTCCTAAGGGGGTGCCCCACGGCGCTGAACACGCGGCATGTGACGAAATTGTGATGTCAGTCCTGGTCAGCTTCTGCCTTACAACTGGTCAGAGCCACTAAAAGCACTTTTTTTTAGTCGAAATAAAAAATATACTGTAAACAACTCAATTTTCGCAAAAACCTAATTTTTGCAATATTGCGAACCTCCTACAATTTGCAAAAAATAAGTCCTGTGAACCATTCCAGTAAGATGTAAACACATTAGAATCTAATCGAGATCCCACTGGTCGCAAAAATTAGAACCCGCCAATTACTAAAAAATTTCAGCGTTGACCGAAATCGTAAAATATTGAGCCAGCAATAAATAAGTCGTTTACAGTAAGTGGCACGAACCATTTCATTTGGTTATGAAAGTAGCTTTTGTTCAGAATTTTAGATGAGAAAACAAAAACAAATAAATGCAGTTTATAAAGTACGGAAACAAGAAATGACCCATGGACATACCGGCCACCAAGCGGTGGAAAAGGCCGTGCAAACTAGAGAGGGGCAGTGGGATCAGGCGCCGACATGCGCCACGTTTTGCTGTGAAGTGGTGAGCGTGGAAAGGTCCCGGATGTATGCGGCGGCGCTTCGGTCGCCAAGGGCTGGAGGATCCGACCTGTTCCGAGCGTTCCAAAGGCCTTCGGCGAGGAGGTTTGGCTTGCGGTTTGGCCGTTTGGCAGTGCCAAGTGGCTCCCATTCTGAACTGATCTTTACCCCGTGTTTGCTGTCATTTATGGCCAATGGAGTGTCATGCCGAGGTAAATGCCGAATCGACGACAACGCCACTGCTTCGCTCCGGGGTGCCAGTCAGGCTATCAGTGGTGGAAAGGTGAGCAGCCATTGCTGTTCTCAGAACCAAAGGAGGAAGAACAAAAAAATGTTTGGGTACAGAACTTGCATTGCAAGGATAAGCTCCTGGACGAAATATGTTCGATGCGCGAGCTTCATTTTGAGCCATTGTAACGCGAGACTTTGTTCCCATTATGAACGGAGAAGAGGTGCGCAGTCCCTGTGGAAAGTTGGAGCTGCTTCCGGATGCTCCAAGCTAGCTGTCAAAGAAAGTGTCTCAGCCATGCCCCCGAGAAAGTGAGAATGTCTTCCTCAGTTGAGGCTGAAAGAAGCACTGCCTCTCCAACTGTCTGCACCACACCGGCTGCAGCCGGGGTATTTGATGAAACCTGTCTGCCCAAAGAATACTGGAGCTGTCACTCCGAGCCTCAGTGGGATTTTTTCGCGAGACAGCATGCCTGGCGTTGTATACACTGTGCATGTTTGTGGCTGCATGAGAAGAGGGAATGCAGGAAAAATCAGCTTTAACAATATACAGGGCATAAAAACAAGAAACAAAGAAGGAACAGTTGCATTATATTTCATTGGGGAGCTCATTGCTGTTTGACGCTAGAACGGGGGTACTAAGAACGAAAACATATAGGGATAAATTCCAGGAAGTAGACAATATGCGGCGTAAGCGACCGCGAAAGGGAAACTATAGAACATGAAATTTTAAGGTGCACGGGGCTTCGTCCCACTCTCTTGGGGGAGGGACTACGGATTTGGAGGAGGCATTGGGATTTGCAGACATGGATGGACGAACGGATAGGGAAAGAATTGCGGTAATTAAGAGGAGATTGGAAGATTCGTGGAAAAGATCTAGGGAGAGGTGAAAATGCAGATAAAAATACGGAATGGAAACACTTTAAAAGGGGGGGGGGGGGGTGTTAAAAAACATTTATACAAATTTTAAGAAAAGATGGGATGACGAAATGTTAGGCTAGGTGGCGCAAGCTGCCGCCCGTCACAAAGGGTATAGCCATTACCATCTATCCATGGCTGAAGGAGGACACGTCGTTAGCTGTGAAAGCTTCCCCCTGCTTCTAGTGACAGATTCTTGGTTGGCCCACCTGTCTTAATATACTAAGTGCAAAAACACTCGGGCATCGAGACGCCGCCCAGGAAATTAGTCTGGCGGCGTTCGCCTCGCGCGTGGTGCATTTGTGCTTCGTACCATGCGCAAAGCAAACACAGCCAGACGAATTGTGTCACTCGTTTGTCACATATTCCTTTTGTGGAGTTCGGAGGTTCGGACCTAAAACGGTAAACTCTTCGAGCCAAAAAGCTTCAAGAAAGAGTGTTTAGTCGCGCAACAAATGCAATGCGAGCCACCCTGGCCGCCCGCTTCATGCAGCCTATCCAGCCCGTGCTTTAGTGGCGCCCTCTCGAGCCGTCGACACGGAGTGCGGCAGCCGTGAGCGCTCGCTGAGCTCACTACCTCTCCTGTAGTTGACGGCCACCCAGGTCAGGGCCAGGGACGTCGTAAAGGAGGTTATTTTTTGCTTGTTTTTGTAATTTTAATTTGCCTATAACTTTTAAAATAAAGTGAAATTGGAGAAAAGTTTATCTAAGTTACCTGTTCAGGGTGCTCAGGATTGGTGAAAATTACAAACCAGTGAAAAAGTCGTTGCAGGGCCTCTTTAAGCAATGCAACATGTGTGGAGTTGTAAGAGGCCATGCAGTTGCGTTTGAGCGGTACCGGCGTCCCACCCGTTTGCGTACGACGGTTTGGGAAAAGGCAGTTTCATTGAAGGGAAACCCAGCGGGCATGCATTCTGCTTTGTAGGAAAGAGAAAGAAGACTGCTTTCTGGGCAATCCGACACCTCTATTTTTAGTCAATAGTCCTTCTTCCTTTCATGGTGTAGGGCAGGGGTAGCCAAGCTGCGACCATGCGTCTCTTTGCTTGTTAAAGTGCGGCTCCCTCCCCTACCCCCCACTACCCCCGCCTCCCTCTTGGTCACACGAGCACTTCTCCAAAAGGATAAATGGAACGCGTTTTAAATTGGAAAGGCAGGTTACGGTTTGGTAGTCTTGTGCTACTACTACCTTATGTACAGTTGCATTGCTTTTGACTCGGATAGATTAAAGGTAGCTCGAGTTTTGTTTATTGCTCTGGACAAAAATTTGCCCCCCCCCCCCCCCCCCCCCCCCCCCCATGCGGCTCTTGGAAGTTTTGTGGTTTTATTTACTGCTCTCAGGCCAGGTCAGCCTGGCTACGCCTGGTATAGGGGTTTGCAAACACTCGCCGTAATGAACAGGAAGTTGATAGTTCTCGTTGCCATGGTGTGGACCGCTTGCTATGTTCCTGCGCCGTCACTAGTCTTGACGCCGGCATTTGCTCAGATTGCTTTCTCAGCTCGACGCCGTCTTTCCTGCCAACTCAGTTCCATTCTCTCTCTTTGTCAACTTTTGAAACGATTGTCAAAAGATTTTTTTTTAACTTTCCTCATAATCCCCAGTTTCTTAATATTAAAGTTTCGCTTTGTGACTTCTCACAACTCGTTTTATCTGAAGTTTATTTATTTATTTATACATAGTGCCGGCTGCCATTTGGCAGCCAAGGCAGGAGAGGGCACACAGGGCAACACACAAGAAGAAAACCACATTGCATGCTAGTGAAAGAAAAAGCATCTAGGACTGCACATCTAAGAAATAACGCTGAAATGATGAGGCGAATTCCTGAACGGACGAGACATTGGTAATGTTGGCAGGAACACTATTCCATTCGTTAATGGT